GTGAGAGAGAGAAAGAGAGTGTGTGTGAGTGAGACAGTGTGTGTGAGAGAGTGTGTGTGTGTTTTTTCTGAGAGAGTGAGTGTGTGTGTGTGTGTGAGAGAAAGAGAGAGTGTGTGTGTGTGTGTGTTTTCTGAGAGAGTGTGAGTGAGTGTGTGTGTGTGTGTGAGAGAAAGAGAGAGTGTGTGTGTGTGTGTGTGTGTGAGAGAAAGAGAGAGTGTGTGTGTGTGTGTGTGTGTGAGAGAAAGAGAGAGTGTGTGTGTGTGTGTGTGTGTGAGAGAAAGAGAGAGTGTGTGTGTGTGTGTGTGTGTGAGAGAAAGAGAGAGTGTGTGTGTGTGTGTGTGTGTGAGAGAAAGAGAGAGTGTGTGTGTGTGTGTGTGTGTGAGAGAAAGAGAGAGTGTGTGTGTGTGTGTGTGTGTGAGAGAGAAAGAGAGAGTGTGTGTGTGTGTGTGTGTGTGTGTTTTTTCTGAGAGAGTGAGTGTGTGTGTGAGTGTATGTGTGTGTGTGAGAGAGAGAGTGTATGTGTGAAAGTGCGAGTGTGTGTGTGTGTGCGAGTGTGTGAGTGAGCGAGCATGTGTGTGTGAGTGTATGTGTGTGTGCGTGTGCGAGAGTGAGAGAGAGTGTATGTGTGTCTGCGTGTGTGAGAGAGAGTGTGTGTGTGTGTGAGTGAGTGAGCGAGCATGTGTGTGTGAGTGTATGTGTGTGTGCGTGTGCGAGAGTGAGAGAGAGTGTATGTGTGTCTGCGTGTGTGAGAGAGAGTGTGTGTGCGGTCGAGTGCTGCATGGAGTCACGTGTGTTCCCCTCGTGAGGCCCAGTGTGTTGCAGTGCTGGTTTCTGGGTGTTTTTATAGTTCTTGAACTCCTGCATGACCTCTGCTTGTCTCTCATAGACGGGGAAAATAGTTCCTTTTCATTTTTTAATCCTTTTTTTTTGTTGTTACGAAAGGCTGTAATCCTAAGTGAAGTCACTTTTATTTCTAAATTAATCGGGACGTTTGTTTTAGGACCAAGTGTGTGGATCAGGGGTGTCAAACTCATTTTAGGTCAAAGGCTAAATTGCACGAAACACCGAGTCCTGTGGGCCGAATGTTTTCTGTTTTTAATGACCGTCGTCCAGTGCTGTGTAACTGACCACTCGTGTTAGTAAAGCTGCGCTCGATCTGTCTCTACTAGTGTGATTGTGAAAGACAGTAGTTCACATCCATCTCTCACATGGTAAGTATCTGTTTATTATGGGATATTATACAGTCAGCTGGCCATTATTATAAAAGCCACTTCAGTGCCTGATCGTACTGTGCATTATCCCTTAATAAATCAGGTCTGCAGTGAAATAAAAGGCATTTATTCCATTCAGACTCCTTATTAATTTAAGCAGACAACATTTTTAAATATAGTTTTTTGTTAATTGTATGACACTTATTTGTTCTTACCATGAAGATAGCATTAAAAAAAATAATAAAAGGATACATTTCCTTTAGATAGCATAATTGCTAATTAGAAAATATAAATCAAAATTGAGGAGACGATTCATTTTTTAAAAAAACGTATCGATGTATTTGTCATCCAGATTAAATTTCAAACATGCACGCGACACACGCAAGTGTCCATATGTTCAGCTTTATTAGCAGAAGAGGACTAGTTTTTGAGTCTAGTGTGTCTGATGGAGTTTGGCACCCCTGGTGTAGATGCATGACGCCTGCACCGTTGCTCTGTAGCGCCCCCCGGTGTCCGTGGCTGTTTGTGCATGGGAGCGCAGCGGCGAAGCTTCGTTTGGGTTTGCATGAGTCTGATCGCTTCAGACCATCAGATTCATCAGAAAGCCGGAAAACCAGGTTTAATCTGGGCAGCAGCAGCAGCACTTTATAACCCAATCAGTTTCATTTGTTTGCTTTTTGAATGCCATTGTTTTCACTGTCAGATTCCTTTGATTTGAATAATTTGAAGAGACGTTGAATTATCTGCCATGATATTATTATGTTGTATGTAATGACACCCTAATGTTTGTTTGTGTTTTCTGGAGAGCAGATCTGTGGAGAGAGCGATGCGCAGTCATCAAGCTCTTCACTCGTGTCTCTCTCTCTCTCTCTCTCTCTCTCTCTGGCCAGTCTGTCTGTCCAGCTCTGCACTCTCACTGTGTTTCCTGTCTGTTGCATCACTTCCTGTCCCTGTGTCTATTTTGATTTTGCCTCTGATGTCACTGTCCAGGCCCCTCCCCCGAGTGATGTCATTAGCTCGGCATGTTAGCCTCACTAACTGCTCTCTTAGACATGATTCCACTCGCTTCTATTTTGGCCCGTAGCTCCAGCTTTGACTCAGTCGCAGACTCGCTCTGTGCTGCATTTTCATTGTGTGTGTGTGTGTGTGTGTGTGTGTGTGTGTGTGTGTGTTTGAGTTCCTCTAATCATTCGTCCCTTTCTCCTCCTCCTCTGTGACACAGATGAATGCGGCTGCTCTTTAGCGCTCCTACAGACAGATTTGATCACCTGAAGATTTGTCTTGCTGTTGTTGTGTGAATGTCCCCTCTCTGACTTTGAGTTCCTCACCGGATGTTGCTTTGTTTTCCTCTCCTTCTCCTCTCTCTCTCCTCTCCTCCTCCTCTCCTGTGGTTCTGATGAGCTCTCGTTAGGGCTGGGCGTTATGACCAGAGTCTCGCGTCATGCTATAACCGTATGTATTGTTTATAATACAGGTTATTTTGTTCTGGAAATTCAATGAGGTGTGCCTTTTTTGATGAAGCTGTGAATTTTCCTCTCTTTTCATTTGGAACTTCATGGATGCGTCCCAAAAGATCAGCTCTTTGAACAGATGAATGAAGCAGAAGCCGCTTCGCATGATGTGATCAGAACAGGGCCGGTTGCACCAGCTGTGCACAAGTTACAATGTATCCTAACTGCAACATAAAGTTACAACTTGCACACTGCAAAATATTCTTTATAAAGCGGAGCGTTCCGGTGCTTGATTCTGATTGGCTGAGCCGCGTTCGAAGCTGTTGTAAATGACGCTACAAAGTAACACACAGCTTTGTTTACGTTTGTCTGTTGCTCGGCAACCACTTTGTAGCAACCACAACTGTTTCTGAGGAGCTACATTGTTTGCTGGAAGAATACTGTGTTTATTAATATCACTACACTTTATTTGCTCCGTTTTATTTTGTGAAACCTTACTACGTATATGGAATAACCGTTTTATAAAAGCAGTAATCCCCGTGAAGCCGTGGTTTACAGTGAATTTATAACAGCTAACTCCGCTTCACGTCGTGCCTAACAACGGCCCTTAGCTGTTATAAATTCACTGTAAACCACGGCTTCACGGGGATTACTGCTTTATTGCGTTGTACACAACCACTAAATATTTACAGTAGCATCTGGCAAGTAGTAATTGGAATAAAATGGCAAATTGAATTGCATCAATAATCTTATTTTACCTACAAACTTCAGGCCTTTAGATGTAAATGAGGATGTTGACATTAACACATGTACACTTTAAGAGAGAGAACATTATGGAGGGAAAAACTACTTTTTAGTGGCTCTTCAACACGAACCCAATCTAAACTATGCGCCTCCGTGTACATCCTCCATGTTCATGTCAAATCAAATGTATTTATTTATTTATATTTGTATAGCGCTTTTCACAATGCTAATTGCTCCAAAGCAGCATTTCAGAAAATCGTTATATGTTAATATCTTTATATGTTCATGCCATTATTCTTGCATTTGCATCAGATTAGAGTTGGGCGATAATGTATTTCACGTTTTGCATTGCTATAAACAATTGAGCAGTTGCGATTCACAATGTAGTATTTATCGCTGTACACAATACATGTTTTTGCATCAGTGTTTTATTGTTCATTGATTTCAAATACATTATCTGAATGTCATTTACATATTAAATAGCTATTGTTATTTAATGATTACTTGTCATTTCAGTGGAAACTAACAGGATGAACTGAAATTCACAGCATATTTCAACACATCTTCTCACTTATGAAGATTGCCGTTGGATTATCGAACATAACGTCATTTTGTGACTGTGCTTATTACACTGTATGCACTTTACAGAGAGCCTGCGGCCTACTAGCTACGTTCTGCCTTAAGAACTAAATTTAGCACAGAGTTACTAACTCTCTAGTAGTTACTTAACCTCTACTGTGGACTTAGAACTTGAGAACAGCTGGTGCAACCCAACTCTGAACGCCTTCAGGATCAGCAGTGATCCGAACATCAGCGTCTGATCTCACTGATGCTCTTCAAATCCTACATCCGTGTTCAAGATCTAGTGGAAGATCTTCCCAGAAGAGTGAAGCTGTTCTAGCAGAAGTGAGGTCAGACGCTGACTGACTCTGAAACCTTCATCTCAGAGGGATTGGGACTGGGTCCACACAGTCTTCTAGATTAGACCCTCATTGTGTGCTTGCATTAAGTCATCATAGAACTTCATCACCAGGAGGTCATATAGTGTTAATTGGGCTCTTTTTGCTTTCCGAACAGCATCAGAGTTACACCGCACGATAAGGTTTTCTGTTGGATTTGTTCGGATCCCACCGCAGTGCACTCTAGCGATTAGCACACTTCATACGGTCATGGCGCCCGGTCCTAACATGCATCTTTCATATCATTTGTGATTGTTTTAATCACTCCATCATCATCATCATCATCATGCTTCCTCCAGTTCAGGCCCAGATATCTGCTGATTATTGCACCGCCTCTGAGCCAAAAACCCCCCTGAATACACACACACACACACACACACACATCGAAATTGTTCCTCAGACGATATTTCTGCCCTTATATTCATGTGAGGATGAGCGACTCTAGCTTGTTTTGGACTGTGTGTGTGTGTGTGTGTGTGTGTGTGACGGTGTTTGCATATTGGTCTTCAGCGTGTGAGAGAACCGTGTTGATGCCTGCCGGTGTTTTCCATCTTCATGATTTCATTTATTGTGACATGTAGCATATGCATCTCTCTCTCTCTCTCTCTCTCTCTCTCTCTCACCCATAAACTCCGTCACTCCTCACAAGGTCTGACAACAACCACTCACACGCTTCCTTTCATTCTTTCATT